TCCTATGAATCTTGGGCTTATTGTCTTTTCACACTCTTGGCTTGCTGATTTCATTTTCTTCTTTCAAATGATACTTTTGTGCTAAGCTTACCAATGCAGCTTATGTTATTTCCCTTCTATTGCTTCTCCTGTCCGTTGGTTTCACTAGATGTGTTGATATCAATTGTAGTAACTTAAGTCGACTCACATACGTGGGTGATCTCATCTTATTTATGACCAGTAGAATGACCAGTAATATTTCATTATAGATGCAAAAGTGGAAGATTTTGTAGTTTTAATAACGGATACTTACAAGTTCAAGCTATTTAACATGTTCTTAAGTTATTCAAAAAATTGTCTTAAATCCTATCGAAGCTTCTGAATATACAACAAAGTGACATGTAGCATCTGAAGATTAAAAACATAAAATTATCTGCAATACGATATTATTATTAAGAATATTTAATTACAATAATTAATAAATTGAATATTATCTGGTTATGTCTATGCTTAGAAATACTAAACTAACGGAAGAGATATCACACAGTCCCTTCAAAACTCACTAGACTTGATTGGTTACTGAATATTAGTAAGTAGTATAATTTAATATACAAAGATAATACAAATGGAAATCTATACAAACTGGACAATGAGGGTAAAATAGCTTGATCCCAACAAGAAATTAATTAAAACATATGGAGGACACTTCTTATGAATCTAGACTTCTGTCAGGTCTTAATTGGGTAATTTGTTTGTTAAAATTAAAGCACATTGCATTAAAACAAGGCGTCACATTGCTATATCAGCTTGTAATATTCACTTGTAATAATTTGTTTCTCGATTGTTGTACTCTCAAGGACACTTCCAATCTAACTCGAAATTCATTCTCATTATAATTCCCTTTCGATACTTGAAATGCCATTCACGTTCATATATATATATAAACCTCTCGGGTGCAATTCGCTCGATGTGCTTGCAACTTTTTTATCTGTGTTGTAATCGCCACTTATTATTGCCTTCTGAATTCAAACACCGTTTAGATTTATATAATAACGGTTATCGAGGTGACTGATTAACGAAGCTAAGCCACCACAAAAGATTCGTGCACAATAACATATCAACGATCGTTGTGGTGATTGGAGAAAGAAAGTAATCAGGAGTTTGGAAAATAGCATTCTTGTGACTTTATGTCCGGCTTTTTTTCACGTGATTTATCCACCAATCAAAATACGACTTATACAATCTTAGCACTGTACCAAACCAATGGCGTTCGAACAGTATGAGTAGCCTAGCGTCCTTATTGGTCCTATATTCGCCTAGCCCGTCCAGTTGAGTCCAGAACACCAATACCAGCTTCCACTATGCGAATCATATATTTGAAACATACTGGATTTGTATATCAACCAAAGAGACAGCAACCTACCATAAAATGGGAAATAAGATTTATACAAGATCAAGCCAAAATGTGACTGAACGTGAGAGACAGTAATTAATAAACTGAGTATAATTTAAAAACAGTAAATCGTATCATAATAAATTATGGGTCAAGATGAAGCTTATAATAAGGGGAATATAAATATACATAATCTAATAATTGAATAGTTATACAATAAGAATAGTTATAGTATATTAGTCCATTAATAGTCCTCGGAAGTTACCCGTAATTTAATCTTCACTAGGATATAACAAGCATGGTTTTCAAAGAAGTCGGAATTGTAATTGAATAATTCTATACATTTAATGGCAAATTTGACTTTGAGGCATATTAGTAAAATTAACGAATAGAAAGTAGGAACGACTAATCAGATAATAACAAACGTCAGTGTAAGAATCTGAACTCGAAAAAAGTTGTCACGGTTAGCCTTAAATGTAACATTTATTATTTATCAATAAAATGTGTTAAAGTTGACTCATAGAGGCGAACCTAATGAACTATATATGATTCTAGGATTAGGATTTAGACTTTAAAGTTCGGATGAATAGTTTACAATCAAGAACTACGGTCTCGATCAAGGTTACAGAATGAAGTTTGTAATTTCAAATTAAGAGTTCAGGTTAGAGGTTAAGATTGTGATTAAGCTAACGGTTAGTCTTAGATTCTAATCTTAAACTTTTCATTGTAATTGTGAATAATACTCTAATTTTGAACCCTTAACCCTAAATCTTAGTCTCTAATCTTAACCAAGACTCCTGAACCTTAATCCTAACCGTAAACTTAAATTCCAAACCGTAAATTCTAATTCAAATGATACTATAGTATTCTAGTATTGCTTACGTCATTGAAACGAACCATTTATGTTCGATATACAACATTTTGTCTGATATATATACTACGAACTTGAAGTCACTTACTCGTTTCTGAATTTCTCGCCCCTATAAGTTAACTTTCGTAATATATATATATATATATATATATATATATATATATATATATATATATATATATATATATATATATATATATATATATATATATATATATATATATATATATATATATATAGTATTGATATTTTTTTCCATATTAACCATTATTATTATTTTCTTTACCAGGTATGTTTTAATTCACCTGGTAGTCTAGTGTTAACAGCTAGTTCAGATAAAACAGCACGTTTATGGGATGTAGAAACTGGTGAATTAAAAGATATTTTATCTGGACATACAGATGAAGTATTTAGTTGTGCATTCAATTATGAAAGTGATACAATTATAACTGGATCTAAAGACAATACATGTCGTATATGGAAATAACACTTTTAATAATAATCATTATCATGAAATTTCTTTGATTTCTTTTGTTTTGTTTTTTTTTCTTAACTCGAATGGTTTCTTCTAAAGTCCCTTAAAAAAGAAAGTTGTAATTTTTACTTGAATTTCATTTCTTTTTAAAGAAAAAAACAAGAACGATTGCATTTCTTATGTATATTCATTTACCTCGGTGTTGTATGATTTCAAATCTAATATACACTATTTATTGCTCAGTGATTCTTTTTCCTTATATATCTGTATATACAAGCATATAATACTAATTACTAGATAATAATTACTAACATACTTAAATGAGAAATAATAAAATACACTACTGAAAGGATGTATTTTATAAAAAATTATTTTACCTAGATTAATAATTATGCTGATTACTGAATGATAAGTAGCTTCAATCCAGCACCAAACTTACCGCCTAAAGCTAAAGATCTTATTATGTCATTCGATAAGGTACTTTACTTTTAAGCTATCAACTTTATGAATATGACAATTGTTTGTATTAATTTTAGTCCACAAATCATTCACAAGATGAGATAGAAACGTAATTAATCAATAAGTGACACAAAAGTCGTGATTCAAACTGATTTATTCATAAACCAATAGATAAATGATCCTGTTTTGTTTATTTCAAGTAATCGTTTATAATAAAGTTTAAAATGAAAATCGAAATAAAATATTGAGAATCTTAAATATTCCTAGATAAATGTATTCAGATCTGTGTTTTCATTAATACGATCATTTATTAGTCTATCATTTATTTTCATTTAAAATAAGAAGGCATTTGGAACCTTCTGAAATTTTTCTTCGGTTTTATACATATTACTTACTTACGCCTGTTACTCCCAATGGAGCATAGGCCGCCGACCAGCATTCTCCAACCCACTCTGTCCTGGGCCTTCTTTTCTAGTTCTATCCAATTCTTGTTCATTTTTCTCATGTCTATCTCCATTTCCCGGCGTAATGTGTTCTTTGGTCTTCCTCTTTTCCTTTGGCCTTGAGGATTCCATGTAAGGGATTGTCTTGCGACGCAGTTGGGTGCTTTCCTCAATGTGTGTCCTATCCACTTCCAGAGCTTCTTTCTGATTTATCCCTCCAATACAATCTGGTTTGTTCTCTCCCACAGTAGGTTGTTGCTAATAGTGTCCGGCCAACGGATCCGAAGTATTTTGCGTAGACAACTGTTAATAAACACCTGTATTTTCTGGATGATGGCTTTCGTAGTTCTCCAGGTTTCCGCCCCATACAGTAGAACTATCTTGACATTTGTATTAAAAATTCTGACCTTGGTGTTAGCTGATAGTTGTTTTGAGTTCGAGATGTCCTTCAGTTGTAAATATGCTGCTCTTGCTTTACTGATCCGCGCATTCACATCTGCATCAGATCCACCGTGTTTGTCAATGATGCTACCCAAATTTGCAAAGGTCTTTACATCTTCTAAATGTTCTCCGTCAATTGTGATTGGATTGATGCATGCTGTGTTGTATCGGAGAATCTTGCTTTTCCCTTTGTGTATATTGAAACCTACTGTTGCTGAGGCTGCTGCCACACTGTTCGTCTTCTCCTGCATTTGTTGTTGCGTTCGGGATAGAAGGGCCAGATCATCTGCGAAGTCTAGATCGTCCCTCTGCATCCTAGATATCAACTGTATCCCGTACTCCCCTTTAGATGTTGACATCTTCATGATCCAGTCGATCACCAGGAGAAAGAGAAAGAGTGAGAGTAAGCAACCTTGCCTAACACCGGTCTTTAATTCGAACGAGTTTGTCAACTGTCCTCCATGCACAATTTTGTAGTTTAACCCATCATAGGAATTCTGTATGATATTGACTATCTTCTGAGGCACGCCGTAGTGTCGAAGAAGCTTTCATAGTGTTGTTCTGTCCACACTATCAAATACTTTCTCGTAGTCAATGAAGTTGATGTAGAGTGATGAATTCCATTCATACATATATCATTCATATATTTCAGACTGATCTACCACAGTTGAGATTCAATATGAAAGAGACATATTATACACATGTAATACACTCTTTCTGCAACAACAACAACAACAAACTATTCAACTATTGTAAATTTTGTCCTCGTTTATATAACTTCAACAAATTTATAGATATGTTAATTAAAACATTCAGCATTGACTGATAAATTAATCTTTTATAAAAATAAGAAAAATTGGTTCAATGAAGCGATAATTCTCTTCTCAAAGAATTTACATTTTAAGTTCTATAATCCTAAATGCATATATCTTTTCCAAAATGATATACAATAATGTATCTGTTAATAATAATAATAATAATAATAATAATAATAATAATAATAATAATAATAATAATAATAATAATAATAACAACAACAACAATAATAATAATAATAATAATAACAATAATAATAATAATAACAATAATAATAATAATAATAATAATAATAATAATAATAATAATAATAATAAAGACAGTGACAACAATTCGCTGAACACAGCAACAGAGAAGAGGAAGAAATAAAAACACAAAAAATGTTATTTTCACTAAGAAAAGAATTGCGTAACTTGATAAGATGTTATGGTTGAGGTGAAATGTAATTAGAAGGAATATGAAGGCAGAAACAAGTAAGCTGGGGGGGTTGAAGGTTAATTGACGAGGGTATAGAGGAATGTTGATGGATATGGAAAACTTGATGTTGAGACTATGGTAGAAGAAACAATTGAATAAGTACTTCTGTGTGTTTTGATGAAATAAAAATGATAATAGATATTTGAGAAATGACTGAACTGTAATAAAATTTAAATGAGCAACCTCTGCACTTGCAAGTCCTGGATCAGATAACAGAAAAGACTCAAAAATGAGATGAAACAGTACTGAGTAACTGGAGATTCATCATAATCATATGTTTAAGTTTGATATTTTTTTAATACCCATAAAAAATATGGGGCAGGGGAGAACCCAACGGATTCCTTAGTGTTACGCCATCAGTTTGATGACATATATTACGGCAAAATTGGAACTGAATGACTTCTAAGCATTTAGGAAGCAAATGTTTGAGTTGAAGTACTGTCAAAAACAGAAGATCAAAACCCTGGTAGATAATATTTATGGTTTCTTAATGAAGTGCTTTGGTAAACAAGAACGCTACGTCACCAAGCACCATGGTCATTTCAAACCAGTTAGGGTGATTCAGTTTACCAGCTGGAGTGAGATTTTTGAAGTATGTTCAGACTATCACTGATGAACAGGTCCTAATTTATTTACTTGTCAGGAGTCAGCTTTATAATGAGGTGAATCAACTATTACTATTCACTATTTAGTTCTTCTGTAGTGGCTAGCAAAGTGTCTCTTTTACTCTTGGTTTCACAAACAACCAGATTATCATTATTATAACAATTACCAATGATCATATGAGATTCAGAATTCGAAATGAAGTTGCTGGAACAAATTCATTTTATTTGAAGCTTTTTATATTTAACGTTTCTTTGATCAAATTCGATTGTGATTTCAAGACATTAAAAAAAAAATTAAATTTCACCCAAACACCTTTCAGTTAGTCCTAAATTGACAATGTAAACCGAATAAATCTAATAGGTTACTTGATCAGGACTAGATTCATGAATTTTTCGGTACACCAATTCAAACTAGCAAAATAACCAACCTAACGTTTTACAATATTCACGAATAAGTTTCTGCAAACTGGTTAACTGATAACCAATGGGACTATATAGGCTCGATTTTTTTTTGTGTGCTGGTAACATTAATAAGAAAGAAAATTATTTCTAACCTAAACTATAGTGGTTTATGAGTTGGTTTTAGTGGTTAAAATTTTTGTTTAAAATAATGAGTCATGTAAATTGTTTTGTTGTTATTTTTTCTGCTTTAAACATGAATCAGCTAAACTTTTAGTAAATGAATGAATGAATGAATGAATCAACACTGCCATCTCTTTGTGTATTGCGCTATATAATATACATATATATATATAAATCCTTTGTATATTGGTCAATTAAAGAAAATATGTCTAACTCGTAGGGTCACAAAATAATGCAAATTTATGGGACATCACACAAGTTGTTATAATCTATCTTAAAAAGTTACTATGATTATGCCCCTAAAGTCTAGGGCAATATAAGTATATATATATAATCGAACATGTGAACATGATTAGTTGTATCACATTAGTTGCATGAATCATTATTTTACGAAAAGAAAAAACAAGAAAAAAGAAAAACAGGTACTCACTTATGACTCAGCAAATAAAAATGACTAATGAAAATTCTAGAGAATAAATAAACAAAAAGAAAATATATTAGTTAAATAAAATGTAATTTCAATAGTTGAGATCATATGAGTCCATTGAAGCTAGATCACCATGGAAAACATGGAAGCATTGGATGGCTATTTCGTCCTATTGTGGAACTCCTCAGCAGTGTGAATTCACGATCCTGCTTCGCAAGATTCGAACCTAGGATCTATCGGTCTAGCGTACGAACGTTTAACTATTGAAATTTCGATAACATCCACAAAATGTAATTAATAATAATATTTGATCATCAAATGAGTTAAATTACAAATCAGTTTCATTCATTGTGACTTCTTGAATATAATGATATATTTCAATAAACTAAAGAGATAAAGCTTGTGATCTATATTGATCAATATTGAAGCAGTTCACACAGGATGCACATATGCTAACAAGAGACTGATCAATTGCAGTCCTAAATAACAATGGGAAAATACAAGTAAAGCAACGCCAAGTGAGGTTAAAGAGATAAATATACTATGGTAGAGAAATCGTTTGTAAATTTCTCATCTGGTTCTACCATTCATAAATTTAAATTAATAATCCATAAAATTGGCCAGATTTAAGGCAGAGTACATCAGTTTGAAATTGTAATATGTGAATCAAGGATTGTTGTTTATCATATCAAATCAAATCGTTAATGTTGGGGATGACTAATATAAAGTGTTAACTTGAATCAGATTATAAGTGAAATGAAATTGTGAAATAAATAATGATCAGAATCAATATGGTCAACATGGGGTGAGTGTGAGAACAATGTAATTACAAATCAGAAATTACGTAATAGGTAGAATAATATAAATTAGGTCAGATATAGTAGATAGGGGTGGATGCTGAGTAAATTTCTCAAAAAGGTTATCAAGTGTAATAATAATAGCAATAATAAAAATAACAATAATGGTAAAGATAATAATAATAATAATATGAGTTTGGGACATAGAAATGAACATTCATCAAATTTTGTCACCATATTATAAAATTGATTATTACACCAGTTGGCCCCGAAATTGGCCAGAGTAAAAGGAGTGGCTGAATATATTTCTTTTGGATGCAAAGCTCTGACTTTTTGATCCGAATATCAATTGCTTCAGTCGTCTGTAATGATTCAAGTTTCTTCACTAATAAAATGATTCAAGTTAACATTTCATATTAGTCAGCCCCAATATTAACGCTTTGATTTGATTTTATATAACAAACAATTCTTGATTCACATATTACATCAGAAGGGATTTTGTCGAGATTGTAGTAATTTCAATAGTTGAGATCATGAGTCAACTGAAGTTAGACCACCATGAAAAACCTGGATGCACTCGCGCACGAGACTGATAGGTCCTGCGTCCGAAACCCGTGAATTGGGGTCGTGGAAGTGCACTTCTGAGGAGTCCCACAATATGACGAAACAGCCGTCCAGTGTCTCCAGGTTTCCCATGGTGGTCTAGCTTCAATTGACTAATGATCTCAACCATTGAAATCACATATTACAATTTCAAATGATGTACTCTGCTTTAAACCTGGTCAATTTTATGGATTGTTAATTTGAATTTATGAATTGTAGAACCAGATATGAAATTCATTTAAAAGAATATTCTTCGTTCATATTAATTGTGTTTTAATATAATGGGAATTTTTCAACGGTTTGCAAATTTGTCATTTGAAGAAAACGATAATAAAATGTATTCGAGTAATAAAGTCCACAAAGTCAAGTACCAGTAATAGCATGTCTAGTTTTGTAAAAATGATAAGTTCATTCATCATTCTAAATTACTGGTTTTAATGATAGGAGACAATATCTATAGTCAAATACATATTAATCATACTGTTAATAACAATACTAAAATTAAGATAATAAGATTTAGATTAAAACTAAATGGACTAAGTACACAATCGGAAATGTATTCACGGTCAACTGATGATCATTGGACGAAGAGAAACATGGATTTTAGGTTCTGTTGGATAGAAAGTGATTTACCTGAAGATAGTTTTTATTTCTAAAACCAACTAGATGATTGTACACAACCATAATATGGAGGCCTGCTTAAACATCTGAACTACCTGTTCCTGCCATCTAGATATTTCAACAAGTTATCTAATTTATTTATTTTAATACGTCCTTATGGCTATTAATCGCATAACCTATTCATATGCGTTGCTTAAAAGTGTACAATCTTTCGTTGCACAGGTTACGAAAGGCCCGATCAGAGATATTGTGGTTGCTGTTAATATACATCGAAAAGAATGTACATTATTTAGATGTCGATTGACTGAACTGCTAACTTCTAACTGACAATTACTCAATATTTATTGTCAGGATTGATCAAGAAATAAGAAAAGGAAACTTGTTGAAATACTTTTGTAGTGAACGAGAACACAAGTGGGAACAATCAAATGTATTTGAACACAAAATTACAGAATTACTTAGTAAAATCTGAGAACCATACAGTAAATAGTTCATTTACAAAATGTCAATCAATCGTCTCAGACTTCATTGTTCCTTTGTTTCCACATCAATTATTCTCAGTTCTCGTTCTCATTTCTTCGATTTTCTTAACATTCTGCCGCCAGGTATTTTACTTTTGAGTGATGATACATAATACCCACATCTGTCTACATTAATGGCCCACATCACACTGAGCTGAAAATTTTATATTGTACTAAAAATATAATATTGAATAAAGCTAATAATAATAATACAACTATATATGTGGTGAAACCGTGACTTCCTTGGCAAGTACGATACCTTGCATTCTTGAAGTCGGGAAGTTACTTTTAATTTCGAATATCCCTCATTAAAATATACAGAGCTGTTAAAGAAAGAACAACTGAATAATTAGGAATTATAACATTCCAAATTAAACAAGGATTAGTCAAAGATCTAACAATACAAAATATAAAGCCAAACAAATAGTTGAAACTTTGGCGGCAAAATTGATACACATCAAATTTCATAAACCTGTAAAAAATGTGCGTAACATTAAGATTTATAATCTTTGCGCCGTAACACTCCGTTGAAAAAAGGTTTGAATTTAAGGCCATTAGAACACAGTAGACAGCTATGGCAATCATAACTGGGAGACCAAAATTCAGGATATACCTTAATTGTAAACATGTTGTTGTACGCCGGTATGGTATTTAATATACATTTGGACACTGTATTCAGGTTAATAACGAAACATAATTAGCGCGAATTAAATGTGAATATATTTACATCCAGTAACACTTACTACCTCTTGTGGGGCATAGGCCGCCGACCAGAGATCTCTAACCTAGGGAAGGGTGAATGTGAATATAATCAGTTAAAAAGTTGAATAAACAACTATATTGTAGCAAGAGCAGGTAATAGACGCAACTACACTACATCAACTAGCAACCATAAATCTGTAATGGTTATAGAAAGTTATCGCATTGGTTTTGATGAATTTTGTCTCCTAGTTACGTTATCTAAGATTGATCAAAGGAACTAACTTATTCGTTAAAAGTATAATGTCTTGACGACCTCAGGAGACTTATTAGTCAGTCAGGAAACATGGAATAGCTTCAAAATAATCAAAACTAAAATAGCAGGAGAATAACATCTTTAATTTGAGTGATTAACCCTCACATCCCAATCTACTCTTTGTGGTTAAGGAAAACGTTCCACTTAAAATGTTAGGAGTCTGGACTACATTCTGATTTATGGTTATTACCATGTAGTGTCTGTTATTATTTTAAGCCCATACACCATTGTTACGTCCTTGATCTGTCTACCCACTTTTGTTACTGAGGCTAACTTGTCTAATCTAGATTAAGACCTTGACGCCAGAGGCTGATCAGCTCAACCTTGAGTACTAGTACGCATGAGTTCGAAGTGGGGTAGAGAGAAGAAAACTATCCTATTACCTGATTGGCTGACAAGCACATAAGTGAGAGAAGAAAAACCCAGTGGAACACTGCTTGACTTATTCCCAATTCGGATCTGGTTCCCGATTAGTGTAAAAAGATACGTGAATAAGTAGATGACTAACCCGACCACAACGTACAATAATTAGGAAAATACAATTATGTCCAAAACTGGAATAGATCAGGAACAAAAATAGATGCTGTTTTACAACCTTTGAATCAAATGAAATAACGCCCCGAAAAATAGCTTCCATAGTTTATCAAGGCTTCTTGTTTCTCTGTTCACATTAACCTTATTCTAGCTTTTGGACAGGTCAATCTCTTCATTCTACTTGAGTCATATTTTGACCTTGGTAATTATTCATTTATTAACCTTGACTGTTTTTATATGAGCGTATGTCTGTACACCGTTGATCCTACTCACCAGATGTCTGTAGCTTATTTTTGTGTGACGATAAATTTTGATTAACCCTTGGTTAAATGGAGTTGGCTCACATGCATTCTCCACTGCGCATCGTTTCACTCACTTCTTCGCTACGTCTCTGAATATATGTTCCGATCAACGTTTATACAAAATATCTGCATTGAAAAATACATTCCCGTATTTGATTCATTTAATTCCGTTATTTACTAACGCAATCTAAGTCGATAATTATAAACGAGGATTGACGATACGTATATCTCAATAGCAACCAGAAACGATCTCACTAGAGTCAAATCCCGAGCCACTAAAACCCTATATAGCTATCATCACACGACATCGGTTATAATTTAAAAAGTTAAGCATTAAGATTAAGGTTGGAACTTGTGGTGGGTTTATGAATTAAGGTTGGGGTTTTTTATAACGCACCGACATCGGTCATGATGCGGTGTTTTGCTAGTTTTCTGTTTACTAACTTAAGGTTGTGATTTAGGTGAAGAGTTCGAAAGGGAGAATATCACCTAACTTCATTAAGCACTCCTGAATATGCATTGAATCACGTTAAGGTATTTAACACAAAATCTTCCTTTGAAACAGCTTCGTTTTTTCATTTAGCTTACGTACTATATCCAATTCAGAACATAGTTGCATCATAGATATTTGTATTGATTTCAAGGATTTTAAGAATCGGTTTTCATTTAGCTAGTAAATCGACCAAACATAGTAGCAGTGTAGGTAACCATACAATCATAAACGCGACATGTGACTTCCCACTTTCTAGCAAAACTTCTATTGAATACTGATTGTAAAAGAATTTTTCTCAGCGTTTCCGGAGCCATTTTGATGGATTTTTTAGATCACCCCGACAATAATATCCGACTTATCACTGCACTTTAAATTTCGCGCAAAATACATAAGGAGTTAGCTTAATAATTCATTCATACATACATTCAGAAATAGGTATTTCCAGATTAGTAACAGCTACAATATACCATATTTTTAAAGGAATACGTAGAACGGATATAATCGGAAACTATTAATTAATTCGTTCAGTTATTTTAAAACACCCACTATAGTACTGATCTAGACTTTTTTTGAATTACAGAATCACATCAAGATTAATGCATAAAGGTTTAAACTAAACAGATAGAAATTCTCTTAAAATAAAACCGATAGCAATCAAAGTCGGAAAAATTTTGCTGATTCTATTGTTAGGACACATCATGCATGAGATATTGTCAATCATTTACATTAACTTTGATTTAATCCAATTGAATTGATGTGGTAATGAACTATACATTGAACTCATTAACGTGAATAATAAATAAAACAGGCAGGTTTAGCAACTATATCAACAATTTAAACTACGAGATAACATTCCCACAAATCCTCTTTGTAAACTTGTTCACAATAAAAAAAAAACAACCTTTTGTTTAGAAAATATATGATAACTTGTTCGATATTTAAATTTAGAAAAAATATGTACAATGGTCATCTAATACAAGAGAAAGGTCTTGGAATAAAATAAGAACTTGATGAGAATTGTACAGGAAAGTGTTTTCATTATATTCAATAAGAGAGAAAATTAGAAAATAATACTCTGCATTTCAAGAGTTCATAATTACTTTTCTAGCTGACAAACAGCTGATAATTAATTTTTTGGCATATGCAAAGAAGAAGTATTGTATATAACATAAAAACAGAGAAGGAAAAAATAGATACTGAAGGCAGAGTATAAGATTAAAAGAAAGCAAGGTCCTTGTTTTATAAAATGTATCACAGAAAAAAATATTGGAGGTAAACCTTTCGATCAACATTATGATGGAAACCTGTTTTGTTTATTTAATACTGACTAGATAAGGTTCATTGTATGATGGTACTGCTGAAGGAGATGAAGGGAATGTGTAATCATGACGTAATCGTTTAGATGGAGTATTGACTAAATCTGTACTGTCGACTTCCATCATTTCATCCACTGGTGGGGGAAAGAAAGGTTCATCTGAAAGGAAATATGAAAATAAGGAATGATGCTAAAAAACCAGAAAATATATAGAAAAACTTAAAATGAGTTATCCCATTGTTGATATTGACTGAATTTCGATCAATTTTTTGTTGGAATATGTACAGACTGTATTGATAGTCATTTTAGATGAATTGAGGCTAGCAGTGGGATCCACGACGTGTTAATTTCGATTTTGGATTCATCAGATGGATGTACTTTCATCCAAGTGTTGATTACTTAAACTAGAATTCTAACCCAGTACTTTTTGATTTCAACACAACGCGTTATCCAATAAGCTACTGAGCCTATGTAGCCAATAACTTGTTCAAATTCTTAGTAACCAAGATATAAACATCATACCTATTAAATTTAAAAACTAGAGAAGCCGAGTTATTAATTTTTTGTTATTCTAGAGTAGGACAAGATAAGCAGTAATTTGCATACCTATTAACAATCATTGTTTTACGAGTTCATGCCCAACTAAATTAACTTCAACCTCGTCAGTTCACCAGAACCAGTGAAATGTCGCCTCATAATGTATGAATTTGTATGAGACATAGAGTAGAAGTATTGATAGGAATTATTAAATTTCATATGAAGACTTGAAAATGACATATATGTCAAAATGTATACTTTATGACACTATTTCAAGGATTAAATGGTAGCACTGAGTAATGATTGAACAGTAGTACCCTGGTAAAAGTGGCAATTAGAAAGTTTCCTGTTGTTTGAAACAATTATCACTCATACAAGTACCAAACAAACTTGTTAAAACATAGATGACAGCTTGTTTAATGCATTAAAGTACAGAAAAGATGAGCTTCAATCAAACAACAACTGTTTATTGGGATTACATAAGTTCGGACAAGTTATGTAAATAAGCAATGATCTCAGGTGTATTTTTTTCTCATTTTAATTATTGATATTTATTCTATAATTAGTTATGCTTCGGCATCAGATATATTCACTAACCAAATCATTTTACTATGAAAAACGCATATAACAGTCCAAGAACTGAGATTAAATGATAACCAACTCATGCCAAATTATTTATTTTATTTATTGCATGTGAAATCCAGTTTACCTGGATAAAAAGAACAGTACGCTCTACGCAAAATAAATAACTTTGTGAAGAAATAAATGAGGGAAAAAGTTTATATTAGAGGAGAAGGAATAAATAAATCACCAAAGCGAACAAGAATAGTGTATAGTAGGAGGACGGTTAACAAAAAACCCAGGAAGAATGTTTTTAGCTGAGAGCTCGACCAAATATTAAAAAGCATGTAAAGGAAAACCACAATTTCCTAATCCAGTGAGTTTCATTATATCTGGTGCCCCCTTGTACCAATACTTGTGTTCAAATAAATAAACAAACAAAAGGGCCCCCAGTACGGCATCGTGATGACCTTATAGATGCAAGTTCAACAAACATTGAGGCACCATGTCAGAAAATGATCGCCTTTCCGCTCTCTCCACACAGTCCACGGTCGGCAGACTATACAAGTAGTGAGAACCCTTGGGAAGGAAGTCGTCAAACATCTCTAAGCCACTAATTGAATTATCGCCGCTTAAAACGAACATGCTTGTCAAACTTCAGTATTACTAACATCGTGCCGCCACTGAATGTCAGCAATTCTTCCGAACCAATGAAGATCAGACTTCTCAACAGCAGAGCAAAACCGCTCTTACGATGCGTAGTAAAACTGATCTCTAAGAGACTAATATCGCGACGATGCTAGAAATGATCCAGATGGGCATAAGTCATTCTGACTTTTACTGTGTAGTTAATTTGGCCATTTATTATTTAAACACAAAAACATTGGTTCAAGGATGCACCAAATAGATATGCCCCATGTAAGTCATTCGATTTGTGTGAGGGCTGTGATACTGCCTGGGAGCCCAAATCGAATCAGGTGGTTTTCGTAGAGGTCACACCCGGGCCTTTGACCTAAAGGTCTAATCCACAAAGCAGTTGGGCAACTTTAGGAGATGCAGTCCCATGGTAGGTTGATAACCACAAAAGGGTTCGTGCACCATTGGTTTGGAATCAAGGTTTTCCAGCTCCCCAAAATGGACTTCACATACCCACCAACCCGAGTAAGGAGCCGGACATTCCCTTTTCCTACCCTCGATTTCGTAAACACCCCAGCCGCGAGAAGGCAGTGAGTTTTTGCCCACTATACTTGGTAGTTTATCCACTTGTGATAATAGAAAACAGACAACTGGTACTGCATATATTGATCATACACCGCTAAATTATTACAATTCTGTAACTCATTAACGAAATACAGGTTTGTGCACACCACGTTGAGAAACTGTTTGTGAAGGTCAGTGTTGCTGTTTGACGAGACTGAAGGTGTTACCAAGTTTGAATATACAATCTACTTGTTGAAAGGCGAATTTTCCAGCCACTATGTCACCGCTTACATTAAATCACGCAAGAATTGCATGGTGAGCGGAAAACTTTATAAACAAACACATACACTTCTTATCTAGAACTCAATAATCAAGTACCTAATTTTGTGCCACGTTCGTTTGCGTGATGGTAATATTCGATTACTTAGATCCAAACTGATAGTGACATCAGAACCTGAGACTCATTGACCGAAGATAAACAAGTATCTGACTCATCAAAGAAAAATTAAGATATTCACTCTAGAAAGGTCACTAAGGTCACATCTAATGACCTAATTTAGACCATACAACAAAGGAATTAAGAATTTAACATAATGATGATAACATATAAGACTAACATTATTGATGTTTTAATTATATAAAACAAAATATTAGTTTACGGTCTGAATAGTGGAAAAAATATTCAGGAAAGAGAATTCAATTTCTTGTAAGAAACATTTAGAGTTGAAATATATTCGTTCACATGGCAAGTTGCCCCCCGAATGCCCTGGTATGGCCGAGAGTGGGGTGGGCCTGGCCTCCCTCTACAAATGCTCTCACACGGCCACGGGTATACAGCCTCTACCAGGGAAGTCCTACTCACTGCTTTCCCGTAGCGAGGGTGTCGTTTACGGAATTGAGAGGACGAAAAGCAAATGTTCAGCGCTGTACCCGGATTCCAAACCAATGGTGCACATGGGCTCTAGTATCGTGCGGGAAAAAATGGCGTATGAAACAATCGTTGGTCACCGGCTACCATGGGACTACATATCCTCACGATGCTCCACTGCCTTGTGGGTTAGACCTTTAGGTTCAAGGCTCGGGTTGTGGCCTGCAAGAAAACCACCTGCTTCAACTTGAGCTCCCGGGCAGTATCACAGCCCTCACATAAATCGAATGATCTATATGGCGCATATCTATTTGGTGCCTCCTTGTACCAATGTTTATGTGTTTAAATAAATAAATAAATGTTACTTTTAACATTCAATATAAAGTGACAAGTGGAATCAACAAGGCATTTTGTATATGTACTAAACAATAGAGTAAAAGAAAGTGTTTAATTATACCAGGAATTTATGGACCGTATGACATGAACAAGCTACCACTATTTATTTCATTTAACACAAAATGAAGCGAGATACAAAAACGCAAACATGTATATATTGTAGATATACAAGTAAAAAGGAGAGCTTACTTGGATCGCGGAGATAGGAGAACTCATTAAGTCCTTGATTTGAAACTGGCTGGTCATACACATGACATGCCAAGTGAACAGTCTCATATTCGTCATCACGTAAATGAGGTTTTGACATGTATTCATTTTCGTGAACTGATTGATTTTGACCCCATAAAAGTTGTTTAGCTTTCAGTGCAGTTACAGTGATCATAAGACTATGACGCAGTCTAATACCTCCACGAGAACGTTTAGCTTGATCAAGTTTTTGTAATGAGGTAAATAAAATATACTGTGCTGTAACAGGATTCATATCGTAATCCAACAAACCACTAATATGGCCAGACATGGCATGAGACACGAGTGAAATGAATAAAGATTGTTTCTTACTTTAATCATATACACATACGACTGACCTTGACTGACTAATAAACAGTTGACCTATCGATGAGCCAGAAAGCCCTTATTTGTCACGCCATTTGCATTTAGGCTATTGGTTAAACTCTGACCAAACAGAAATACATTATACTAGACATGTGTGTGATATGATGCGCTCGACACTTAAGCTATATCAGCTGATCATGTATGACTCATAATTACAAATGACGTCTGTTGACCTTTGTCAAGGGTTGGATGAATGGAATATTGTCTGACCATCAGACTGAAGCATTATAATGATCTGGTCAGACATAAAATAAGATAAAAATTAATCTTTCGATCAAGGGCACTTAAAAGTTGCCAAATATGGTAACAAAAAAGTGAACAAATGGTAGTGTGGCATAAAAAATCAGTGAAAATTGTGTATAACAAAGTTTAGCATTTATCGTGTCATTAACATTTGTAATACAGAAAAATGAGTGTTAACATTGAAAAGTTCGACACCTGATCTTTTAAGTTACATTAGAGAAACCCAATACATACCACTTCCACTATAATCTGATACTGATAAAACGAACGAGTCAGATACCGAAATAAACCTAAAACAATTATTTATCCAAGTAAGTCAAATGAAATAAAGTCAACGTGAGGCTTGATAGAATTCTTGGTAAGATTCTTCAGTAAATTCAATGTCACTGGTGCTCATTCAGAGGTTCATGAATGTGACAACTAATAAATGTTATTCAGACACTAATTAGTAACTACTAAGCCACGACTAGTGTTCGTATTATGGATAATGTCTGGTAGTTGAGTACAGAACGTATGTTTCGTTTTATAGTTGATCTTACCTCACAAAATTGCTTATGTGTGCTTGGATGTTTGGGACATAAGTACATTTTTTGTAGCAGGATTCAAGTTAACACCATTTAGCCTGGAGTTGAGATGATGTTTCACTCGGACTTCAGTCACAGAACATTATTTTAAATTGTATTTCATCAGATTAACTAATTTCCAATATAACTTTATGTTAAGACGGAGTAAACTCCTATAAATTGTATGGATCTACATTTTAAGTTCGTTTGAATGGATACGTGAAAATTGTGGCTGGTCATTAAAGCGAATTATTCATGGAGATGTCCGTAAAGCTGGAAAACAAGTAACTCAGAAGTCTGAACAAGCCACCATGACAAGCAGTTTGATTCACCAGTGATCATAAAAAAGTCGTCTTATTGCAATAGGGTAAGTGGACACTTAACTGTTATCATTGGAAAGAAAATAGCGTCACAGTGACTCATTGGGTATCAACCCACACCATCATGAGTGAAAAACTTTCCATACCCTCCTCCTACATACTCTTGAAACTTTTTATTCAACAATATTATTAATCTAAAACATTATTAATGGTTATTATCGTTTTAAGATGAATATAAAGGCAATCGTTTCTGGGATAATTACCTTTATCGTAACAATGAGTTATAATAATCGAGCTGACACGAGTTTAGATTCATTTCTGAATGAGGTTATAAATACGAAGAAACTATTCTCGTGTATGTTATTAAAGTGACATTTCCCTCAAGGGGAGTTAAAAAAACACTCAGAAAACGTATTATCGTTTCACTGTCCGTAATTTCTATTTCCATCGAGATCAGAAACCGTACTTCAAATTTGTATGCTGAAAAAAAAGGTCAGATAGCAGCAACGAGAATCGGCCTTAGCGAATATAATTCGAAGAATTTTAGAGGATTATTTCTGCAAGTCTTCAGTAAGATGTACTTGTCCAGGATTCATTTTCGACGAAAGAATACTGGATTGCCATTTGCACAATAATAATGCAATTCCTTAGCTTACGAAAACAACACATGGATGAGAAAATCAGCTGATGCAGAGGTCGTAACATTCCAAGCCCCTGTTGGTTTCAGACACCAAAAAATTTAATGTAGAAGATACTGTTGAACCCTGATTTCGTAAACGGCCGCATCCAAAGGATGACGTCAATACGCAACAAAAACGTATTTTTTCAGCCAAATCACCCAGGTAAATAATGTGTTCATTTAAATGGATGAAATCCGGTGAACCATGATAAACTGGGAAGTCAAATAATTTCAATTAGAGGATTATATGAATATCAGCTGCATAACCTGAAGTGCCTTCTACTAGCACCTGTAGATTAAAATAATTTGAAGAATAGTTTACTGGATGTTGTTTGTTTCGATGTTACAAAAAATGAGTTAGTTTTTGTGCCAATTTATGGAACTCGATTTGAATCTAATGATAATACCAACGTATCATGCCTTTATCGGTCGCGAAACGTTGACGATGATACCATAATATCTATCGTTCTTCAGACAACTAATGGTCAGTTGCTATATGTCATAAACTACAAATTTTGGCTACTATAGAGTTCTAATAATACTCTAACTCTTATTCACTGATCACTGATCTAAAGTAACTTGGAGAATTTTTTTATCCTAAACTATTGAAACGACCTAGACCATTTTCGAGTCAAATAATTTTCAAATAAAAAAATATGAAAATTTGACATACAATCAAAACTAAATGGCCTCCACTAAACTCAACTGATCAGATAGTAGCTAAAAATGGTTTATAACCAATAGAAGAATTTATTTCAGAGAACAAAAAGTGTGCATCTGGACAATTTGAACATTTATTAAAAGGTTTAAACATATCACGATCTTTCAATGTTTATGTACTTAAAACTGATCGATAGAGGCAAAAAAATTAAACCACCCTGTGTTTACTGTTTAAGTCATTCTGTTCCATTTAGCCTGATCCCTAGTTATCAAAGCATAGTGATTCCCAACAATCACCATTATCTTATCTGGAATAATGCATAAATAGATAATGATTATTAACGAAAATATTTTTATAACAATTAGTCCTTTTGATAAATTTCGATAATACAATGAGAAGACAAAGGTTATAATGTGATATATTTGCGCTATATAAACATAATAAAGAAACCTTATTAATAGATGTGGAAAATAAACATTCGGTTCCCTATAGACAATTAGAACATGTACTAAAATACTAGTTGCATACGGATTTTCATGAGGGTACGCTTTCAGTTGGTAGCTTAAAGAATTCAGCAAGGTTGTGTACTTTAGATCGACAACTTTATTGGTTTTATTTTATCTGGAAATATAACGATGTTAGGACAATGAAATTGCTAGACACAATGATTTTTATTAGCATAGATAATTGATGGATTTTCCAAGCTTAAATTAAGAACTGATATTAGCTAAACCACTATTAAAAACCTGAAAGCACTGGATTAAACAGTGGTATAGAACTCCTCAGCAGAGCACATTTGCGACTCTGCACGCTAAAACCACATCCAGGATCTACTGCCTCACGCGCGAGCACCTAGGTCACTGAGTCTAGATCCAAAAGTGCAAATGCCTAGTTTCAACTAAATCAAATTTTTTTGCGCAATCCTTATCTATTGCTTGTGGTGGATAACTGTCTGACATCCAACACGGATTGAATTCCACTGTTAAGTGCGACAAACTGAAATAAACGAGAAATCATTGAAAAGTAATAAGCATGGAATGATGACGTAATTCTAATTTTAAACTGCTTATTAATATACACCTTCAACTAAAACACAATATTGGTATCTAATGCATAATATTTTAAAATCTGATCCAATTTATAACCTAAAGGAGCTAATTCTGTAGGATTGTTGGAAAATGTCGATTTTCATTTCGAGATAGTAGTGTTCAATACATCATTATTACCACAAGACTGCGTAGTAAATTCTTGTCAACTTTTAAAACACAACAATTGGAATCAAGCTATGAAACTAGAATACATAGAATTTTCAAGAATGGAACATTAAAGAAATCCATCTAAAACATTTCTGTTCACTCATGATGATCAGTTATTTATAAGATCACACATATAAATACTACACATAAAAATAAATTTCATAAACTAATCAATTTCTCTCAGTAAATCATTTTTATTAACAACAGAGAAACATTAACATATATCCAGTAAGTCATATTGACAGATAGTTAAATACATATTCAATGATGACCGGTCGAAAAAAAACACATGACAATCCATTGAAGCCAAACAAAATGAATTGAAAGAAAACACACACACGAGCAGTACAGAAGTATTCGTGAAAAATAACCACAGTAACAACAACGATAACAGTAAAGAAAAAATGATAATGATAACAAAAATATGATCAATTAAGTGCTGATATCATAAAGTGTATTATTATTATTATTCGTAGTATTAGTATGAATATGAAAATAATAAAGTTCAATTTTGACATTTTGCATTCTGATCCAATCCCAATCATATGTCGATCACGAAGTAAGTAGGTATCAAAATACAAATATACACTAGTATATCAATACCATTTTATTATTATTACTATTATTGTAACTATTACTAGATTAAATATGATGAAATTAAAGTTATAAACATGGAAAAAAATGTGTAATAAATATTGAGATTCAGTTTGTTTGTTGTTTTTTAAAAAAAATAACCGGACAGCACAGCCATAAATTTGATCTATGATGAATTGTCAACTACTTGTTTTTTAATTATTGTATATAACTGATGAAATATAGAGGAATTTTCAGCATTAATTTTTATATTATTGTTGAAAAATGGCTTATTATTGTTACTAGTACTACTACTACTGATATCCTTTGTTGCATCGGTAGTAGTTGGAGTAGTAACATTGGAATTATTATTAGTAGTACATAGTGTATCACAATGATCTTTGATCAAAGTAAGAAAATGCTCACGTTCAGCTTGACGTTTATTATACAGTATCTCTGATTCCGATTTCAAAATAGGTTTTAATAAACCATCCGTAACAAAATGATAAGCAGCTAAGCATAAAAGGTCATTTAACCATAGATCTATATTGGATGTGATGACAAATGACGAAGAAGAAGGTGAACTATTATTATTAGTGTTGGTAGTAGTAGCAGTATCAGTGCTTATATCGAATGAATTATTTGGCTCAGTGTTGGA